TATCTTGTTGATATATTAAATCCTTCCCTGCACTTGAAAACCGGAAAATTAACTTTTGACAACTGAATTTATTTGAACACTACTAATATGTAAATACATGTTTAATGCTGAATATTATGCAATATAAATTAATTCTATCCTACTAAATTTTTTATACAAGATGGCTATATATTTATGCTTTTAGTATAAGGTATTTCTCCCCCCTTCTTAGAATGCCTTCGTGGTGCAATGGTTAGCACACTCGGCGCGTATTCAAGAGGTCCATTCAAGAGCGCGTATTCGAGTCCCGGCGAGAGCATTGCTCATTTTTCATCAATCCTGCTTTCACAAAATACCTAATGCATCTACAGTGGCGCCTGAACTAAAAATGGTGGTGGTGGATGATTGTCTACCATCAGGATTTGGCGGTCAAGTCACCAGATTTCTAGTCGCCCTTTAAAAGGGGAAGAACATAAAGTATTTCTCCCGCCTTCTTAGCATGCCTCCGTGGTGTAATGGTTAGCCCACTCGATGCGTATTCGAGAAGTCTGTGGTTTGAGTCCCGTCGAGGGCACTGCTCATTTTACATCTCCCCTGCTTTCACAAAATACCTAATGTCTCTACATTTGCAGAAACGTTCAAGGCTGCAAAGCGCAGGATTTTCTATATAGGCAAAGGATTTACTTCCTGTAAAATAATTAACGAGAAAAAAGCACAATATTTTTGTTTTATTAACATGTATGTTTCCGCAATAAGAATATTAGAATTAAACTCACGTCTCGGTACATTCGTAATCACTCATCCTAAACGGATGGAATTTTAAACAATCGAAATGAATTTTTAAACGCCAAACGCTGTGAAGAGAAAAAGGATTTTGGGGTACTACTGATGAATGCGTGAAGACAAAAGAAGTTATACGCATGATTCACTTAAAACCATCCTTAAGATTTATCATATTTTATCATATTTGTTATCGTCAAGGTTTTGACTAATTTTACTCAAGAAAAGATGGTAAAAATCAATAACAAAGAATGAGAAATGGACTTGAAAAAGCAAGGGACTGGTCTCCCCAACGTGGAGAAGAGGAGTTATGCGAAAACACTAGTCACACCCTTAAACCTGAAAAATGTATGAGTTTTAAAAAAGAATAAAATGCAGAATTTTAAAAAAGAATAAAATGCAGACCAGATCTTAAAACTATTCTTCCTAGCACACAAAAATAAAATCGGATGCTAATCTTCACCGCAAAAGATCGCTTATTCAACTTTCAGAGAAGAGTGATTCAATCCTTATTACTATAATGAAATTAGTAAATTTTAAATAATAACCCTTTTATATTAATCCATAGCAATACATGATTCTAAGGTCTGCAGAAACAGTCATGCCATAAAACATGATATCCTATAAGTTTCCTCGTGTTCATGGCACGAGACGAACAATCATGAGATAAAAGCTAAGCAGGTAGAAAAAGCGTATCGGAAGAAGGGGAGAGAAATTGCATGTCTTCAGAAAATTTAAAGAAATCTATTAGGAAAGAAAGACGAAAGAAACTTGAATATCTGGAACATTCTTCTGAGTAAATGTCTACCAATACATGAATTATAAATCGAATACTCTGACATATATCGGAATTTTCTTATTTTCACTGGCTCTGTTAGGAACCTATTCCTGCTTATACATGCCTGAAATAGTGAAATAATGAAGCACTATACGATCGAGGCGAATAGGACCGTTGAAGTTACAGGATTTAAAATGTATTTATAAAATAATATGATGCTCGCATTTCAAATTACAGCGATTCTTCTTGAAAATGAAAGGCACAAATTTCAGTTAATTATTAAAGATATTTTAGTCATCTTTTTTCAAAACAATTATTTATGCACTTCATAAAGGCATTGGTTACATAAAAGCACCTTCCTAAAGGCGATTTCCAAATCTTTGTTCTAATGCACTTTGAGGAATATTTATGATACTGAGACCAGGGGATTGCGCAAGTATGGAAGAGATTCAAGCTCAATTTTATGTTCTTTAAACAACTTTGGAATCAGTTATGCAGTGCAAACTGGTATATTTATTCTTGATATGTGACACATATGACGAGATACAAAATTTGAATAAGAGATTTCTGCAATAGTGCGGCCCGAAACAATCCCCTTAAATGCTTTCGTCTGGACACCAGATTCCAGATATTTTACAGAGTTCTTCGTTCACAGCCTTTTCCAGCAATAGGAAAGACGACAAAAATGCGCCAGTGACTGAAAAATGCATGTTATCTTAGTGCATTGTCCTCGTTTTGCACTGACCCACTGAAAGTAACGTTTAGCATGGGAGCTTTGGAAATTTTTTTTATATATAATTGCCCAAATATGAATATTAAGTTTTCATATTCTTTTTGATGAGTGATGAACTAACCTGTTGTTTGCGCTAGCCAGTCAGCCAACAACAATTTGTGTTCTTGAGAACATAGATATTGTAAAGACCTTATTTTATTCTAAACAATTATTTTTACTTTGGTTTTCCCTTTCCTCCTGATTTCAGTTTTTTGCCGAATTGTAAATTTAATGACGTAGTATGCAAATCCAGGTAAGTTCAAAAGCAGTATTTAAGCTGTGGTTTCAAGAGTTCGTAAGGAATAGTTTTAGTTCCGAGTTATGCTGCATGTTTGAAACAGGTCTCTAGTCGGTGTTAGCCAACCTCTTCAGATTATACTGATATTCTAGGCTCGGCTTTGCTATGTGGAGCCAATTTAGCGGTTTAAATAAATAAGGAGCCAATCGCGTAGCCCATCTTACTTATTGTGATTTTAATTTTTTTTTTTTTTTTTTTTTTTTTTTTTTTAATTTTCTGTTGATTTCTTAGCCATAAGTTGTGGTTTTGAGCACCGAGTGAGTGCAACCCTTGTTAGGTTTAGTTCAAATAAAAAAAAATATTTAAATTGTAGAGATATTAGGTTAATTGGAAGCAGGAGAGATCACAAATGGAGCAACGCCCTCGCCAGGAATTGAACCACGGATCTCTGGAATACGCCCGAGCGTGCTTACTACTACACTCGGAAGGACATAAGAAAGCGGGAGAAAATACCTTACATACTTTCCCTTTAAAGGCGGCTGGGGTTTAGGGGACCCAATCTCCAAATCCTGAGTGTGGAGAACCATCATCCACCACCCTTTTAGTTTGGGCGCATGTAGAGACATTAGGCATTTTTGGAACAGGAAGAAGTGAAAAAATGAGCAACGCCTTAGTCGGGAATCGAACCACGGACCTCTGGAAATACGCGCCCAGCGTGCAGACCACTACGCTACGAAGGCATGCTAAGAAAGTGGGAGAAATTCCGTATAAAACCTCCTTCTGCAGTATCTGTTCTTCAAAGTCATAACGAGAATTTGCTTTGCATTCTTTTTTACGTAACGTCTACGGTAAATGCTCCCGAAAAGAACTCGAAGACACATACAATATATATCCCATTTTGGTCTCAGAATTCCCAGAATCGTAAGTTATTCAGTACCTGTAATACCCGCTGAGAATATAAATTTAACACTATGATGTTGCTTGCTGATAAAATTTAAAAACGTTCAATATTCCACATTCAGAAGTGGAATTTCAATTTCACTTTCCCTCGCATGTTTAAAATGTCCAACCCCACATGTTTGACAGCATAAGAAATAATAGCATTTGTGAAGCGGACAGAGTATTCAGATTTTTGTGAGGCACTGGCGTCCTCTATCAAGAACAAGGACGCCGGCGAAATGCAGGAAAACAAACAGTAAAACGTACCACGCGAAACGATTACGATTATTATCCTGTAATTCAAAATAGATCATGCACGGAATGGTTTAAAAATAACGCAAAAATCTTTAAAACATTTTTGTAAATTACATGAACGATATAGTATTGTATTTCTCTGAAGAAAAACGTTTAAAAAGGCAAGAGTTTATTTGATGTTTGACTCCGAATAATAGAAGAAAAGAACCCACAATCATCAGTCATGACAATTTTGATACCCACTTTTACTGGATAAAAGTGGTATAAAACTGGTAAAAAAAAGTAACTGGGTAAAAGTGGTATGAAGAATAATGGCAAATGGAGTGGGGAAACATTCAGCACTAATGACAATAAAAATATATTTCCCTATCAATGATTAGGTTCAAATCTGGAGAACCAAACTTCAAGTTTGATAGTCTATATTATTTAAATTCTGAATTCTCTTCTTAGAAGTCAATGTAGACAATTTATAAAAATGTGTCCAAACAAAATAGTGACTTATGAGTGTCAGAATAAGTATGACCGCTGTGTACTGGTAGCTTAACCTACGTGAACCACTCTACGAGCATTAGCTGCATGGTATTTTTGTAAATTTCTCCATTTGTAATATAAATACGAACCTGTTAACTTTAGAAACACTTCAACGGACCTTTAGGCAAATTTCTTCCTTTAGGCAAAAAGCTCTCCTGCGTGCATTACTGTAATCATTTAAACAAACAATAAATGCAATTTAATAAACAACGCGTATTTGTATTTATAAAAAAAATATTTTGTTCAAAATCGTGTTTTAAAAATGTTTTGCTCCTTCTACATATAATGTTAAAAAATTCTCACCAAATTTGTTACCTCAAGAACTACTTATTACTTGGAAAATAACTATCTATATCTCTTTAGTTATTTATGACTCTACAATAATTAAATAATTCTTTTATTCATACTCTCAAATAAGGAATACAAAAGTTACACTAACTCTCTAAAAAGAACAGACATCATAGTATATTGCCATTCTCTGAAACATAAACTGTTATAAAAACATAGATAATAATAATATGAATAGATAATGAATTTTAAAAAAAAACCTATAGATAAAGAAAACGATTACATCTGCTTGAAGCTCGTGCAATATTACTCAGAAGCTGCAGTTAGAAAAAAAATATGTAAACAAAAATATTAGAGTCAAAATATTGTTCATCCTTCCACCTTGCAATATGAAATTCGGGATTGAGTATTGCAAAATAATAAAAAATTAAACATTGTTCTCACAAGTCCAATCGATGAGGAACTCTAATTGTCCTTCCTGATTTGGTTATCGTGGGCGATTTTAAATGGGTATGGATTATTCTATTTGTTTCTACAGGTACATCATCAATTGGAGTTTGCTCTACCGAAATATTTTCGCATCGTTGACTTCCGCTGAATTTCGATGGAAGTTCCTCGGCAGTCGATAATTCCAAAGGATAAAGATTTTGTACAGCTCTTATGACTTCTCCATTTTGCACTTTAATTCTGGCTCGTCGACTTTCACCGTCGGTACCTGGAAATAATTGTATGATTTTACCAAGAGGCCAATTTAATCTCCTTTTGTCATCGCTTCCAATTAAGACAATGTCTCCTTCTTTTAATTTACAACTTCTAGCGAATTTTTTGCTTGTTGTTTTCAAAGTTCCCAGATATTCCTGGCGAAATCTTTTCTTGAAAACCTGGTTAACATTTTGGATATAACGCAATCTACGTTTATAAAAGCTAGAATTGAAGTCATGTTTCACAATTGGCACTGAATAGTTTTGTATTTCTCGTAAAAAATTTCCAGGTGTTATGGAAGTGAGACTTGAATCAGCCGATACAACTGTTAAAGGTCTATCATTTAGGATAGCTTCACAGTTACACAAAACGGTACACATTTCCTCATAACTAAGGCAGGCTCTCCCAAGAACTTTTCTTAATATTCTTTTCATCATTCCTATGAGGCGTTCCCACCAGCCACCCCACCATGGAGCGCCTGGGGGGAATGAACTTCCAAATAATACGTTCATTAGCTCCTTTTTTTCAATTTCATTGAAATCGATTGAAGCAAGTGCATTGCATGCTCCAACAAAATTTGTTCCATTATCAGTATAAATTATGGATGGCTTCCCACGTCTAGCAGAAAAACGATGAAACGCTTGTAGAAATGTATCTGTCGTTAAGGATGTAACCAGTTCCAAATGAACACAACGGTACACTGCGCAAGTGAATAGGCAAATCCATGCCTTCTTGTAGTCTCTTAGAAATATAGGTCCAGCATAATCTATGCCGGTTATTTGAAACACTGAGGCATCCTGTACCCGATCTCTAGGAAGTGGTGGCGCTGGTGGGTTAACATTTTTGTTTGAATAACGCTTACAGGTTATACAAGTTTTCAAAACGGATGACACAACTCTTCTTCCCGCTAATATCCAAAATCTTTCTCTTAAGGAATTTAGGACGTGAGAAACTCCAACATGTCCTTTCAACTTATGTTCTTCCATTATTAAACTTCTTATAAGAGGATGATCACTTGGCAAAATAGCAGGAGTTCTGAACTCAGATGTATCTTCTCTTTGAAATATCGCTGTTTTAGTTCTGATGATGAATGGATTAAGACTTAAAATCCGTTCATCTTCTATTCCATTAAAGGATTCATTTTGTATTAAACGAATCAAGATATTCTCTGCTTCATTTAACTCAGATACAGTAAGTTCATCCTTTTTCTTGTTTTGATGTTTACAGTTGTAAACAAAACGACACATCCACGCTACCAGTCTGATTGTCTTACGATAACTTGAGAATCTAGTAGCAAACTATTTCACTAGCATTAAGATTTATTAAGGACGAAATAATCCTTTTCTTTTTCTCAAGAGCTATTTCTTCTTCATCAGCACTAAAATCTTCTTTTGGCCATTTTTCTGGTGATAAATATAGCCATTTAGGACCTTCCCACCATCTAGATTTAATTAAATAAGAAGCAGAGCATCCTCTACTGGGCAAATCAGCAGGATTCAGTGATCCTGGTACGTGCCTCCAAGATTCAATAGAAGTCAGTCGCTTTATTTCCTTAATTCTGTTGTGAACAAATACGTCCCATACTTCATTTCCTCTGTATCCAAGCTAGCACAGTAGACGAATCTGTCCAAAAATAAATATCATCAGCTTGAAATTCAGGTATTATGCTGGATGCTAAACGTGCACATATTGTAGCTCCAAGAAGTTCCAATCGAGCTATTGTTGTCTTTTTCCTTCCGCTGGGTGCAACTCTCGCTTTAGCTTGCACCAAATGAACTTGAACCGAATCTCTTGTTTGTACTCGAACAAAGGCCACAGCTGAATATGCAAGTTTACTCGCATCACTGAAGAAATGAAGTGAGATATTTTCAATCTCACGATCACAGTTTAACCATCTTGGTATTCTCATTCTTTCCAGACACTGCAAATCATTCAACCATTTACAAAATTGTGATTTTGAATTTGAATCAACTTCTTGGTCCCAAGATAACTTCCCATAGGTACTGAAGTAAAAGTTTTGGCACAAGAGTTACGGGGCAAGTTATTCCTAAAGGGTCGAATATTTTGTGTGTAGTAGCTAAAATCTCTCTTTTAGACAAACTTTCTGGTAGATTGTAGGTGATGTTAGTAATATTAAGGCAAAGGTAATCTCCACATCGTTCCCAAATCATTACTAATATATTTGTGGTACTCTGTTGGGTCACTATATTCCCAACCACGTAATTCTAGCTTTCTTGTAGCTAATTCTAGCTTTCTTGTAGCTAAAGTATCTGAAGCAACTTGTATGAATTGTTGCAATTCTAAATCATTTTTCACACTCGCTAAACAATTATCTACATAAAAGCTCTTCTTCAATTGCTCAATAATATCCACTTTATACTTTGGGTTTCCATTTAGTTGTTTCAAAGTGGATTCTAGAAGATGGTGAATTACAGAAAACTAGCAAGAAAG